TAATGTCATCTCCACCTGTATAGATATTTGCTTAGATGTTATTATCAACCTGTTTACATATATTTTAAACAGAAATAAAATGGTTTGTTCAAATTCTACACAGGCTAATAATAACTTATTTAATAGTAATATGATGAATAATTTATTATGTTATTGATAATTAACATTTAGTACTTTTGGTCCGAGATATCAGATAGTAAATCTTTAACAAGAAATAAACTACTATCTGGGAAATATTCAAAAGCTTTAAGTTTATATAGACTAGAATAATTTTAAAGGACCCTGTTGAAGTGTGGGTAAAGTACATTTACAAGTTTTTTTTGATACAACTATATTTAGTGAGATGTAACTTTGAAAAAGTTTGCTCAAATTTGAAAACTTGTAAAACAGCATCAATGCATACATATATATTTCAAAATACCCACGATATCAAGCTGTTGGGATGAAAGATTGAAAGTCAAATACAACAAACTAGCTTTTATACCAATTCACTGGATGTGCTGTGGTTCTGTTGATTGCGTTTTGAAATATCACTAATCTGTGAAACAATGTTACGAAGCCGTGCCGATTCTCTACTTCCAACAATGCCAAGATCCTTTGCTCTTCTTAGTTCATGTTCAATAATCATATCGCTGATGACGTAATTTTCATGTCTGATTTGAAGTTTCAGAGACTTTGGAATGTCAGGGATCAACCAACGAATTAAGGTTATGATCATAACAACAACGTTCTAAAAAAATAACAAAACAAAAGTATTGTTTCATAGAATCAGTTTTACTGGAATGGTTTTTAAAACATAATCTTTTTACATGATATACTGTTTAACCAATACAGACTATAATTTATGAACAATGACTGTAACATGAATTTTTCTTAAATAACTGAAGAACACATACAGTCACTTTTATGATCATTCTGAGCAGTATCAGTGGTACACAGTTAGAAAAGCATTATATAGGATAAACTGGAGTTACAAAAAATCTAACACATATAGAATTATATAATAAAATGGATATTGTTTTATAACCAAAACTACTAATTCATCCAAACATTTTGTGAATGATAACTTTTCAAACACTACTGAAGATTTTAAAAACATCCTAGGTTTTGTCTTTACTATATTAAAATATACTACTGATTATAAACTATTTATGTCATTGCATAAAAAACAACAACAACTGAAGTACAATTAAAATTTATATGCATTTTCAATAGGAGTAAATGTTAAAAAGTTTCCAACTCCCCTGAAGACAATTTAATACAGTATTTCTAAATTGGTTCTGTGGGATTATGTAAACCAAAACACATGTTTAGCTCTCACAACAAATTTAAAATATGATTTATAAAGCCTATTTTTACGTTACATTTGTTTTGAAAACTTCAGTTAAATAAAGCCTCTTGGGATAATATATTCACATCTATAATAAATCAGTAAAAAATATTTGAAAGTCTAGGGTCAGTTCCACAAAATTTTCAGTTTTAGAAATATTGTTTATGTTCACAAATATTCCATTTTATGAAGAAAACAGGTCATATTTTATATCCAAAAGTGAAAGCTGCCGTAAATTGATTTATTATCTAATAATAAAACTAAAAAATAAGATCTATAATATAAAAATACTTTATTTCCAACCTCAAAAATAACAACGAAAGCCAAGCGAGCCGTAATGAGGTGCCAATAAATCGACTTATATTCATATTTGTTGCTTGCTGTTGGGGGTTGTCTGTAATCTTGGTACCTGAATGAACAAAGATGAAGGAATCAGGAAACGATATGATCGTAAAATAGAAACCAGTATTTAAATAATATAGTCACCTTAAAAAATAACCTTAAATCAAACAACTTGTAGTGGATGTTTTGCATTTTTTTAATTTCAACTTATTATCTGCCCTTAATCAAGTTTTTAAACATATACGAGGATTTTGTAGTTTTACATGAACAGCAATGTACAAGTTTGTTAGCTATATAAATGGCAGAAAATAATTCTACAGTTTCCTGCCAAAAAATGTTCCTTTGAACTTTATATGATGTTAGGTACAGATTGTGGCTTTGATGTCTGGAAAATTTTAAGAGATTTGTACCAGCAGGAAAGTAATCATAATATCCAAGTGTTTTGAAATCAAGTTCTATTCTATTGTGTTTTATTTTATTTTAGATAATATTTGTGTATCAATCCCGAAACAGTCATTAAAAGGGCAGTTATAGGTGTTTATTTATCTTGCTGAAGATAAATTCAGTAAAGTTGTCACTCCTGAAGATGTATAACGTTTTTACTGTATACAAAACATGATCTAGAAGCACTCGTGTCGTCTTCTTTGGAGAAAAATATATACTAAAGTTTTCCATAAATATGATACTTTTTTTACAGTAAAAAATGGAACCAGTGGTGAATTCTATAAACAATTGTTTCTGTCATATATACAAGGATAATAACAGTTCTATTTTGTGCTATAAATAACTACATGATTAAATGTTATTTTCATAAAAAATATTAAAAAGGTGAAATAGTGATGACCATGATCTCTTTTGAATAATAAAATAATGCTTTACTGGTTTCTAACAAAGAATAAATCTCTCACAATTTGAAAAGTAACTGATACCAACAGTAAAAGGTGTAACACACAATAGAATAGAATATTCTAAAACTACTGTAACTTATTTGGCTTTCTAACTAACCTACAATTAGGTTTATAAAAAATAAAATTCATTACTGCTTGAAGCAACATCTTTAGTCTAAACCTATCAAGCATTGGCTTTGACTTCCAAAACAAAAAGGAAACTTGTATGATTTATGTAGTATAGAATGCACTCTTTCTATTGGTTATAAAGATGTCCAATAGCAATGTTAGAGAGAGTTATAGACATTTCTTGAAAAACAGAGGATAATAGAGGAGCATGTCATTTGGGTTGAAATTTTATATTCTGGCTTGTCAGTATCTACAGCATGTGTTTCTAATTGGTTCAACAATCTGAAGCCCTCACAAGAGAAAAAAATCTATAAATGAAAAGTCAGAGGATCATCACATCATGTGACTCAGAGAAGTGAGGACTGAGAATTTATTTCAATATTTCTTTTTTGAAGTTAAAAATTAAATCTTATGTAATATAAAAATTTCAGTTATAAAGTAAGTTTGGATACCAAGTTTATTAACATGCATTGATAATAAAGTAGTTTAATTAACCTTTGTCATCTCCACCTGTATATTTATGTGTGCTAGATGTCATCTCCACCTGTATACTGATGTGTGCAAGATGTCATTTCCACCTGTATATTTATGCGTGCTAGACGTCATCTCCACCTGTATACTTATGTGTGCTAGATGGTCAGTGAAGTCCAAAATAAAGTCCAACAGGGAAAACAGTTTCCCTACAGTTATGTGCCACAAGAAGAAGGAAGTGATAAACTTTGCCAAAATCTGTTTTATTTAGAAAATTTCTTCTTTCACTTACCATTTGATGTATTACAACCTCAAAGGCCAAAACTTGTTAAATTTTTACACCATCCTGGTGCCAACAGTTTTAAACTGTCTTATAACTTGTATTGAAACGTTGATGTTCTCTTTTCTAGAATGTTTTTAAGTACTTAAAGTTGTGAGAATATTGTGTTCAATATTTTGATAGATGTTGTTGATCTTGTGTCTTTTTCATGGTTTATGAGGTTGTGTTCATTGTTTTCTTAACTAAACCTCTCCCTTTCATGTATCTTTTAAAACAAGAGTTGGCAACCTCTGTGTTCAAGAGAGTCAACTGATTTAAATTTAGAACAAGTGTGTTGCAGGAAATCAAACGATACATTTATATTACACACACACAATTTATGTGCTTGAAATACTATGTAAAAAAATAAAGAAAATGAATTTTTGATTATTGTACTTACAGTGTGCTGCTGTAATGAGACTGATGCTGTTGCACAGTTTTGTACATTTCTTTGAAGTTCATTTCACAGCTGGCCATCTGTAGTTTCATGCATATGTTTAGTTTTTCTACTATTAGTATTTAGCACAGGTTGTTTAGAACCTTCCACTTCTAAATTTCCAACTGTGATGCTGGAAATCATCATCAGGTCCAGTTGTTCCGGGCAGATATAAACTTGAAGAAAGTGCTGTGCCAGCAAAAGTCTAAAGAACAAGACTCAAACAACATTAATAGATCAGAAGCAAATGCCACAAACTGTCACAGTTCCAAATTGTTGTCAACTTCGACTTTCGTGCATGAATCTCAAACTTGTGTTCATAATATCAAAGAATGAATCAGTCTGCCATTCTCTCTCTCTCTGATGAACAGATTCAGTTTGTATTCCTTTGCAAAAACTACCTGCTGTAGCGATGAATGTGGTTCCCTCCTTGCACTTAAAGATAAAGTTGATTCAAGTAAGTAGTAATACCCTTGACATAATAAAACCTGAGAAACCAGTCACATTCTGAAAGTTTGGATTGTTTAGCACCTTTTATTTCTAGGAATGTTTGCACTTTTTATAGGCAGGCAGCAAAGTATACATAGTTTTAACATCAAAATATCCAGAACACTGATAATCCACTTCTGAAAGGGATTTGTACTGATAATACCTGAGGGCTTGTACAACAATCCAGTTGATATTATGCACAACTAGTGCTATAACATCAGAAAGCTCTGGACACAAAGTGCTTCCTGGTATACAGTATAGTAACAAATCCTTAGTGTTAACCCATTGTGATGGGTGGACCATCAGTACACACTGAAACAAGCTTCCCAAACTGTAACTCCTTTTCATTAAATCTGGTGCAGCTTTAAATTTGTTGTTATCTCTTATTTGACTTTCCAATGACAGAATTGCAAACATTTCCACCATATTACATTGCCACAGCGCGGTCACAAGTAAATAGACACCACCTTTTCAGAAAAAATGAAATTTTTCAGTCATATTACCATGAATTGATATATTTATAATTTAATTAATATCTCGTAGATCTTCCTTTT